TCTGGCCTCTTGCTGCTGTCGGGTTGACCCTGTCCTGCAGCCTGGCCCAGCTCCTGCTCTCCCAGGTAGAGCCCAGCTCTGGGAAGCTGTAGCCAAACCTCCTGCTCTTTCCAGAGCACGTCATCGCTGGCTACTGGCATCCCCACAGGGAAACCTCAGGGGCTCGAGCTCTTCCTGTCCCCCAGCAGGGAGGGCTACGGCTGGGCCCTGGTGAGTGCAGCAGCAGGCACTGCACATTCAGGCCAGGGAGCTGAGGGCAGGAACCCAGGGCACACATCCTCAGGGCCAGCCGGGTTTCAGCAGCCACCGCCTGGTACCCTCAGCTCTCACGGCCTTCCGTCCCTGTGCTGCACGTCTCGCCAGCCCAGACAGTGCTGCGAGGTCACTGTCACGAGGCCATGGAGACCACTGGACACCGACTGCGGTGCGTTAGGAGAGGGCACGAATAGTAGCCAGGCCCATGCTGCGTGTGCTCTTCCCTGCTCTTGGCAGAAAGCGTATTTGATCCTCTGCCTCCCTGAGGAGGGGTCTTGAGATCAAGGTGTGCCTAAGGGTGAGCGTGCCCTGGTCCTTGTCAAACACAGCTGGGTCCTTCCACGTCCTGCCTCAGAGGCTCCACCACCTGCCCCCATTCCCACTGCGACGCCCAGGACTCTCATAGGCTGTTTGCTCCTGACCCCGCAGAGGCCACCCCAGAGGAGCACCTTGAGTCCTGTGGGGCCAACGACTGCCTGATGGCCACAGCGCCCACCAACAGCACCCACCGCCCCTCCCAGGAGCTGATCTACACACTGCTGGGCATCTACACCGGTACGTGTCCTTAGCCACGAGAGCCCCTCGAAGGCCAAGCCCAGCCCTTCCTGGGCTGAAGAGCACCATCCCAGCTCCTAAGTGCTCCGTTTCCGTCCACACCCCTGCCCTGTGTGGTCTGCAGGTCCTCAGGGGCTTCTCTTTGGAAAGCAGGCCTGTGGGCCAGGGCTACCCTGCAGGGTGCCCGTGACATTTAAATCTCTTCTCATCCCCAGAGCCCCATGCACTGGCCGTCAGCCACATTCCAACCAATTAAAATCCCAAAGTCTGTTTCTAAGGCTCCCTAGCCACACTTGGCAAGCTCACTGGCCACAGCTAGCTCACTAGGCGAGCAGCTACCACAGTCCCCATCCAGGGGACCAAGGCATGGAGGACCAAGTCCATCCAGGCGACCCTGAAAGGCCAGGAAGGGGTGAGGGAGGTACGACTGGGGGGGACACTGTGGGCTGCCTGAGACAGGTGGTCAGACTGGTCAAGGCTACTGTGAAAGACCCAAGGACAAGGGCAGATCTGTTTCCTGGGCAGATTTTCATATCCACCTGATGTGGGGGTGCAGGAAAGCTGGGTGGTGACCAGCCAGCAGGGAGCCACAACCCAGAGGAGCAGCGAGGGGCACAGGCAGCATCTGGACAGAGAAGACAAGACCAGGGATGTGTGTGCAGACACAGGTGTGGGGAGAAGTGGCTGAGGTCCACCAGCCTGGAGGCATTTGGCTTGATGGGGCAGGTGACCCTTCAGAGTGTAGAGGGGACCAGATACAGGAGAGGGCCTGGGGGCATCTAGGGGCCAAGTTTGAAATCTCAGGAGGAGATGAGTTTTTAGGGAGGAGGAAGCAGGAAGGACTTCAGGGAGGACGGTCCACAGCCTGGGCGACTCGGTGCTCACAG